AGCAGTAGTAGTATAGTAGTAGTAGTAGTAGTAGTAGTAGTAGTAGTAGTAGTAGTTATTGTTCTTGTTGTTGTTGTAACAGCAGTAGTAGTAGTAGTAGTAGTAGTTATTGTTGTTGTTGTTGTTGTAACAGCAGTAGTAGTAGTAGTAGTAGTAGTTATTGTTGTTGTTGTCGGAGTAGTAGTAGTAGTAGTAGTAGTAGTAATAGTACTGGTAGTGGTAGTGATAGTAGGCCAAGGTGGAGTGGTCGCTTTCCGCGGTCGCAGCGCCGGAAGAGCGCGTCAAGGCGCTTGCTTTTTGGAATTGGAGCCCCTTGTTGGTGGGGTCTGCGCGGCAGGCGTTGAAGAAGCTGATGCGTAGGCGTCGCCAGCGGACGAAGAAGTGATCGAGGCGCTTATCGTGTGGTGGTGGTCTTGATCGTGTGGAGCAGGCGCTTCGATTCTTGACCAAGAAGTGTTTTGTGTGGCAGGTCTGCAAAAAGATGCTGCAAAATGCGTCTAACGCATGGGTGCGAAGGCATCGCAGAGCGCACCCGTTTCCTTGATCAAGAGCCAAAAGGGATTGAAAGCAGTTTCCGCTTTCATGAAAGATCTTCTTTGGCAGGGCCTGCGAAGCCCGATGCATGGGCTTGCATCCCGCTGGGCGAACAAAGTGATGGCCCAACAGCTATCACACTTTGGCAACATGAAGAAACACAGACTAAGAATGCCAGAATGCATGCCAGATAGAATGCAAGAATATATGCAAGATAGAATGCGCATATATGCCAGATAGAATGCCGGAACATGTGCCAGATCAACTGACAAAATACATTCCAGATATAACGCAAAGTTTGTTGACCCTACCATCGTTTACGTTCTGGATGTAGCAGGCCATCGGTAGTAGTAGTCGTCGCCGTCGCCGTCGCCGTCTCCGTCGCCGTCGCCGCGCTAGCAGTAGCAGTAGCAGTAGCAGTAGCAGTAGCAGCAGCAGCAGTAGCAGTAGCAGTAGCAGTAGCAGTAGCAGCAGCAGCAGGAGGAGGAGGAGTAGTAGTAGTAGTAGTAGAAGTAGCAGCAGTCGTGGCACTAGTAGTGCTACTAGTACTATAGTCGTAGTAGTCGTGGTAGTGGTAGTGGCAGTAGTCGTAGTGGATTCTTTTAGGGCAAAAACTATCCATTATTCCAAGCCCCTAAACAATTCACTTCCCCTGGGCTCGTGTACCACCCCCGAGAAAATTTGTTTGGAGCAACCAGATCGTTGAGTTTTAACAAGTGGTTTTATAAACGATTTCCACGTCAGAATTCCATGAATCAAGCAAAAATCAGGAGAGTTAAGTAAGGGTTTTAAAGTTCAAAGGGCAGCTGAAGTGGATGCTGAATATGGCACCCAACAATGGACTCGACCTGTCGTCGCTGGCGAGTGGTCCGCCATGAGAGCTGCGCTTGAAAACCGATATGGTATGATCGAGGGAAAGCTCATGCCAGCAAAGGAGGTGGTGGAAAAAAAACTCGCTGAAGTGGAGGCAGGAGAGCAAAGAGCAGAGGAATTGGAAAGAGGTGATCTCCAGGGACGAGGTGGAACCAGACACAGTTATCCCGATATGGGATGCGAAAGGGAGGCTTGCAATGAGATGCGGGGCAACCACGGTTCCAGAGCCCACCAATGCAGAGGAGTTGAGGAGGAGGCTCACCGTGTGGCCGTGTGGCACAACACTATGGTGATGGTGGCTTTCAAGTGACTTCAGGACAGAAGGTGACCTGAGGGCGGTCATGGTGGGAGCCGTTTGCCAAAACGAGTCCGGCAACCAGGTGCTGGCCAGGTGTGATGTCATTGAACTTTGCCATCAAGTTATGCAGCCTTGTGCCAACTTTGTTTGAGTTGTTTGAAGCTGTGACAGGCAATGACATGCTGGTTCATCGACTACGACACTGTTGACCGGGCGCAAATCACGCTGTACTGTGACGTTGCGCAGACGACCATCGCAGCCGCGACTCACGCAAAGTTTCCAGACATGGTTGGCGCGTTGATGGGATGGATTGGAGAAGGCAGACAGGCCTGGAAAAACGGAAAGGCGGCAGGTTTAATTTGAGTGAACTTGATCTGTGTAAGCTCCCCTGGCAAGCAGCTTGAGGCGGCATGTCAGCTGTGGTCTCTGATGGATGCTTTTCACAGCTTTTCCTAAAGCACTTGCAATTTGCACGCATGGGCACTTGTAAGTTGATCCGTTGGGCATCCATTTGGGTCACTGAAAGCTTCATAGGCGAGGCATACAGCGGTTCATCGAGTGTCCGGCAGTGCTGCTGAGTAGCGCAAGCGGCGAGTGACGTTCCCCCAAGGCTGCCGTGGATCGAAGTACCGTGTGTCCCGAGCCCCATTGTGCATCTTGAATCTCAGCATACCCAGACACTCCATGGGACTGCCATATATGCCGATCAGTCGGGGTGGTTTTGGGGGTCAATGTAGGCATATATGGCAGTCCCATGGAGTGTCTGGGATATGTGATCTGTGCAACTTTAATGTGAAGCGTCGGCTCGCGCCATACAGCGGGCAGGACAGATCCCGCAAAAATCCCAGTCTGTCGAAAAAAACATCAACCGCCGGTCGATGGATATATTTTTCATCAGCGGCCAGTCGATGGAGAATTCTCATCCAATGCCAGTCGATGGAGAATTCTCCGTGCACCACCAGTCGATGGAGATTTCTCCATCGTTGATGAGGAATTCCAGTCACCCCACCGCACCACCCCCACATGTTTTGGCCCAGTTTTGGCGACTTCAGATTGCTCATAGAACTTGGAAGCCTCCACTGCTCATGGAAGTGTCTTCATGAGAGACCAGGAATGAAACCAAGGCAGGATTGGGGATTTCCACGGCAGGAAGCACAATGACTAAACCGGGTGAGAAAAGGTGATGCAGCACTTTCATTTGCAAGGGAACTTGACGAAACTCCCACAAACCTTCCGCACGATTATGAACAATTAGAGTGAAAGTTAGTATTAAGGCCCGCATTAAAAGAACCACACACACAATGTAGTAAAATCCGTTTTGGAGCATGTCCGAACATTTTGTAGAGACGGGTAGAGACCCATTGTGTAGTGAACTTGCGTGATCTGGAGGTCTGGAAGGCTAAGGTAGGACTTCTGAGCGCAAACAGATGATACCCATTCTGTAGTAAATTCGACTGGTTTTGACAAGCTTCAGGTGCTGAGGAAGGACTCCTTTTTGTAGCGGAAAACTTTGTCTTTGACTAGTAGCCAAACTTAAAAAAACACCAGATAGATAGAACACATCAAAAAATGGCGGCGCCACCGAATGTTGCTGTAAGACTTCCTGGTTTGTGACGAGCGTATACAATATTTGGTATGGCGCACGACCTTTTTGTAGATATTTTCAACCAATTTTCAATACCATCTCTTGAGGCGTGCATCCGTTGATTAGTTTTGACCACATAGAATTGGTATTGAAGCAGATGCCTTGGCCAAATTTGAATCGCTTGAGTCATGTTGAAAACAAAAGGTCAGAACTCAATTTTGTAGAGACCCGGAGCCCCACGCACAAGCAATCTGTAGAGAATAAGCGTTTCATATCTACAAAATGAGGCGACATGACCTCACCATGGAAATGCACCCCGGGATCCTGTAGGCAGTATGGCCACCAGGGTCATCGATGGTCTTCACCTGGGGAACGTGTCATCTAGCAGAGCAGGGAGGTGAAAATGTTCGGGTCAGGGTGACACACGACGTTTGGTCCCTGCAAAGCAATAACAAAAACGTGAGGCGACAGGGTAAAGAGAGTCTTGAAATTCTGCCTTGGAATTGTTTTTGAGCCTTTTCAGGTTCCAAACACCTTTTTCAAGGGCAAACTCTTGCCCGAGGTTGTTCGCTTTGTTTGTAGTTTCGTTGCAAAGCCAAACACTCCATGGGGCCGGCATTTTACAGGTTGATTTCAGGTGTCCTTCTGAGGCAAGGTTTCATTCAGGGGAGAGGTTGTTGTCCTTCCGGTTTTCCCTCAGACCATCCCAGACCCTCAAACTCCAAGGCCTCCAAACCCCAACCAAACACGTACGACTGGAACCCTACAAGAGCGACCTCACTGCCAGGTGCGCGCGGGTTTCTGGAGCCTCGTGCCTGCCACCGTTGTGGAGGATGTCACACCGTCGCATGCCCTGCACGCCGTCGTTTGCCGCGCTCGCTCGCGCGCGCGCGCGCGTGACGACGGACGGTGGGGTGCAAAAGGGGACAAGGTGCCGCTTTTTTCCTCCAGAGCAGCGGTGTGTGTGGGGGTTTTCGCGTGTTCCACCTGAGGAAATGGCGGAGTGCTCGTGGTTTTTTTTGCCGGAGTGGCACATTCCTAGGTCCTCGGTCAAAGAGAAGGTGAACTGTCAGACTAGAGATGATTACTGTAGTCATCATATCGTCCTATATAATCAGTAGCTTGTGAGAGTCTAGGATTTCTTGCATCAACATCAGCCAGTGACGAGGACTTGAATGGTGTGTGAAGAAGGGGACAGGAGGATTGGGTTGCGGGCCATGCATGCGTAGTGTTGTTTCCTTGATGTTCGACCCACACACACATATCCCCTAAAGACTCCTAAAGATTGCCTTTTCGCACATCAAAACCGGATCTCGGAATACCTTCAAACCCGATCCAATGCCACTGGAAACGAAGTGGAAATGACATATCAGTGAGTGAACGCCTGAACACAGAATAACACAGATATATGATATATGGCTCAAAACTCCGGGTGCCCCTAGACCCCCCTGGGCACGCTTCTCAAAAGGATAGAAAAGGAAAGGAAAACACATCAACAAAATTGCCCTATATAGGTTTCTCTTGCTAATTTTTGGACACTTGTGACTAGTGGTGTCCTCTTTTGTTCAAGAAGGATTGGACCTCAAAACGACACCCAAAGAAGAAACACACACACAAGGATCACAAAGAAGCTGAACTTTCCTCTCCAGGTCAAGAAGAAGGCTTACCCTCAAAAATATCCAAAAGAACTCGCTCAAAAAACACTTGGTCTGACCGGGTCCGAGTCTTTAGTCTTCATCTCTGTGCCCATCAGTTTGCCCTTCTACACCGTTTGGCCATCTGTGGCATGACTCCCGGATGGCGAATGTCCATTGTTTTACCATGCATATGTTCTATATGTTAAGATCATTTGAACACCATGAACCAGTGATTTCACTGCACAAACATCAACATATTACAGTATAATACACCTCCTTATTTCAGGGAGTGTAGATCCACTCCACCAGGACCGAGACTCCCTGCGTCTCAAGACCCCAAGAACTGGAATCACCCATCAATTCACCACCGGATTCCCAAACGGGCCCTGCTGTGGAAGGAATCCAAGCTTCCAAAGCTTTCTGCTCCTCCACGGGACCGCCCTCAGGTCGGAGCTTCGTCAGATCGTGTGCCCCACCATCGTGGTGCGCGAGGACACGGTCGCGCACCGCGTCCGTGCGGCGTCCGGTGTTGCGTGGCCGGGACGTTTTGGGACGGCCCTACTTCTTCCAGACTAAGGGATGGATACGATTCTGGCCAGACTTCAAGTGAGTACCGGAGTTTTCCAAGTCATGGTAGGTCTCTTGGCCAAGAAAACCGGTTTGGATTATGAAAGCTCTCATATGGGCCGATTTTGCTAATCAAGAGTCTACATTATTGTCGAGGTGTGGTGAAACATCCATTCCTTAAGCTTGAGGATTCATCAGGGATTGGACGTGAAGAGGGTGCTTTTGTTTAAAGTCTATTTTTTGGCTGAATATGTGATTTAGGCACCACGCCACGAATTTGAACAATGCCTTCTAACTGGTAGATGTCTTCGATCGCTTATTTGACTCGAGTCTTGGCAAGTCTCGGTAAGCTGGTTGCTCACGCCCAACGGAGGGCAGGTTGACAGGTGTTCTTTCAAGTATATATTTACTCCTGTGGTCTTTTTTCAACATGCCACTTCTGTCAACTCAAAGCTGCCGAAGCGCCCAAAAACCGAAAAAAACATCCGCCCACCTGCCCCATCCCTGATTGACCCGGCTACTTCTGCACGGCGCAGAAACGCCACGCCACGGCTCAGAAACGCCACGCGTCACGCGACACGCGACACGTCGCGAAACGTCGTGCAGGACATGGGGCTCAGGCAGATCTTCCGCGTGGTCTTCGAGGATGACGTCAGCGAGTGTCAGCCACTGGTGGAGGCCGGGAACGGTTCACCGGTTCGCGAGTTCGCCGAACTCGGATGTCACTGCTGCCGTTAAGTGCTGAGAGTTCACATAGAAGAGATATATCGTGAGTGGAGCTGACCTGGGGTCATAGCTTGGATCTGACCTGGAGCAAGTGGCGAAGGTTCAGCCTAACTTGGCTGTTTCTTATGGCGGAAACTGGTCATAGACAGGTCAGATCCAGGTATATGATGTCTCCAGTGACACGAACGGGTCAGAACCCTTGTGCAGAGTTGTGCTCCACGGTCGACTCCGCAACGCTCCAAACGAAAACAGGTTGACGCTCCAAAACAGCTCCGCTTGTGACTGTGACTCTCGCCAGTGTTTGTGAAGTCGATCTAGTTCGGTTCTCAGGCTTTACCAAGAGAGGTATGCCAGTGACCGGGACCATAGGACCCCCACTGGGGTACTTATGGTATAGGCTAATTCGGGTCATTCAACCTTTGTTGGTATAAGGGCATGTTGAAAGAGCCCTCCTTCAAGGACCTACCAGCTTCTTCAGTGACCTTTTTGGAGTCCCATCCAGTGACCATTTCCAGGCCTGTTGGTGACCGAACCAACCAGGGGATCAAGTTCGCTCACTTTGAAGAACCTGGTAGATAGATTACCCATACACTCCATGGGACTGGAATATATGCCTACATTGTTCCCAAAACCACTCCAATTAATGTAGGCATACATTCCATACATGGAGCGTTTGGGGGGCCTGGACATCGTTTTGTGACCTCAACCAGGACCTTCAAAAGTTCGTGACAGTCGTCCTACTGGAGTCTCATTGTTTCACCTGAGAGATTTCCCCGAAGATTCCGATCTCAATGCAAGGGTTGAAGGGACCATCTTCAGGAACCCATGGGTTTCACCCCCACATAGTGGGGTTCCTGCAGATGTTCCCTTTGACCAATTCATTTGTTCGATGGATGAAGACACGTGTCAAAACGAAGCACACAGAGTTGTCTTAGAGCTTCAACCAGAAACGATGGGAAAAAGAACAACCGAATGAGGCAACTTCATTTCATTCGTTCTTCACTCATAGGTGCGCATTTCCAGTTTGTTTCGGTTTGAATCTCAAGTTTGGTCATTGACGGGTTCGGTCCTGGTTCTCAAACACGAACGAGTAACTCATCCGAAGAATTCTTTTCACTCAGAGTCTCTCGTGCTGAATGGGTCAATTCGAAGGAATTCAGCGATAGTCTTCCCCCGAGTTGTCCAGTCGAACATGTCCACAGCTTCGATGATCGACATGACCGACGATATCCAGCCGATGGCGACATACATGCACAGCGTGCAGCATGAGACGCGCGCTTCTCCGACACACGCATGAGACGGGGACGTAAATGCTCAGATGAATTCCCAGAGCATCCATGTATGGAAGTCTTACGTGTTGCATTGACCCCGTGAAAATGACCCTCAGGTCAGAAATGGTGTCATTTCACATGTCATCATACATGAATGTCCTAAGGATTTCTCCTTAAACTATAGCTGCCTTGGCACCATCAGCACTGCGCCGTGGTCTTCCGCAAGGCCTTCCACGCGGTCTTGGACGCTCTGTCGAAGGATGAGACTCTCGGCCTGGCCGCCGGTGCACGGTTCGCCGGTGAGCCCATCAGACATCCCTACCATTCCCTACCCACCAACAGAGGTTGAAGAACCCTATAACCTGGACACCCCTTTGGTACACATTAATGTGTCCACTTGGTGGTCTGCTACCTGATATCTTTGTTCGTGCTATCCTATGGGTCCCCCAGTAGGGTCCTGTTTACGGTCCTTCAACCTCTGGCACTCAGGAATGTGAGAGGTGGAGGGTTCGGTCCGGTCCCTGACATGCCCTATAGGGATCCAGTCGTACCGAACCTCAGAAGGTACGACTGGGCCCGACAATGGCGCCTAGTCTCCATTCACCGGACCTGACAAGGTACGACTGGATCCCTAGGCTGACTGGTGCGACTCGTAGGGAATAAGGGAAGTTTCGCCCCCAATAGAGATTCTATTGGATCCAGCCACCTCATTCCCTGCTTTCGACGCACCTGTCAGTAGGCTATTAGGGATGTTTGTTCATGTCGGAGCAGAAAGGAAGGGACGAACGACGCCCGGCGTCCACCGGTGACATCGCGAACAGGAAGAGTGGTGGGATGAAACAGGGTGAACTGCCCTCTTACATGTGAGTTCCAGAGAGACAACGGGGTGTGTAAATGTTCATAGGGAGACACCCCAACCAATGGGTTTTGGGATGGTTTGAATATGTTTGTTTAGTCTATTGTCCTTCTTCCAGGTGGGGTTTGAGAGATCTCCCTGTTTCCCTAGTACCTTCTCAGAAGGTACTTGGACCAAGACCCTCCAAACCAGTGTCTCCTTATCAAAGATATTGCCTTCTCAACACCCATGGACTCTTCCTTTTGCGCGTGTCGACAGGAAAGACGGTCATTTTTCTGGTGCGTTTCCAGAACTTCCGTTTTGACTCATTTTACTCCCGCTCCCACACCACTACCATAGGCGCTCCAGCCGAGTCATGGCTGGCATTCGGCCTTGGTGAATCAAGGGACCAGGGATGAGGGACCGGATGATTTGCACGTTGCCCAGGTAGTAAACCAAGAGAGGTTGAGAGACCATATTGGACCCTGTAGTGGTACATAGGATGGATGGGCGAAAAAGGGCTGTTCAAGCTCTCTTTGAAAACATCAAAGACGAATATGGGATCTGAAGTCACGACGTCTGGACCAAACTCATATGAGGATTCCTAGGGATCCAGTCGTACCGAACCTCAGAAGGTATGACTGGACCCTCCTGGCACCTACATAACAGTGTCTCCAATCACCCAACCTGAGAAGGTACGACTGGATCCCTAGGGGATATATGAGGCTTTTAACACATGAGACCTCCAGAGACTGAGACGGCACGGCGAAGACTGCTACGCCAAACGGAGGCACGGCTTCGCCCGTGGCTTTACTGATGCCACATGTGCTTCTGAAAGAGGACTCAAACCATCGCGGTTTTGTTTGTGCACAGAGGCACAGAGGCAGTGGCATTGCATTCGTGAACTTCCACGAGCACTCATCAGAGCACTTTGGAACGCCCAACACAGCTGACTTGCCAGTTGTCGAATGGCAAAAGCTTTGTCGCTGGCACATCTTGCACCCACGAGTCCCACTCTGCTTGCAATAGCTCAGCGATTGACGTGATGCAAGCGAGTGCCCAGGATCACCCGCGCAAATGTTGAAGCCTTAAAAAGAGAAGACCTGGATTACTTTGCGTTGCTTTCATTGAAGGATCGAATCCATGACGAATCCATGGCGGCGTGCACTGATCAAGCGTGGATTCAGACTGAACATCCTCAGCCTGAGCATCACAGACACTGGCTTCCGCAACGATCATCACCCAATATGGCAAATATGATCCAGAAAACATCGGAAATCGCTGGGACTGGGTTTCGTTCCATCCAGAACTCTTTCTGGGACTGGGTTTTCCAGGCTGTGGACAGTGACTACTTCCGACCCTGCAGGGCCATCCGGGGTGGGATCCGGCGGCCAGGTGGCCGTGTTAGTTGGGGGCGCTGAATCACCCTGAAGGGTTTCAGTAGCTCTGAGCTAGCTGAGGAGTATGCACTTGAGGAGTAGGGCTCTCTTTGCTGCCGTCCGATGGACCGAGTTTTTGCGAAGACAGGGGGGGCTATCTTCAAGTCTTGATCTATTGGAGCTATACTTGGTGACTTGGCGTTGGTTTACAGGACTTATAAAACTCTATACGTATAATTAATGGAATGTACAACACTTATAGTTGTATGGAAGTTACAAAACTTGGTTTTTACATGAGTTCATCACTGCCTGCCGTAAGCTATCAGTACCTATAGCCTATAGCCGAGAGAGAGCATGCAGTTGAACATTGGGTGTACTCTGGGCAACAAGGGTGGTATTGGAGTATTCAAAGGCACAAGGCACACAGGAAGCAGACCTTTGTATAGTGTTAAAGGATGTTAAAGGTCTAAGGTTTGGGCAGGACATTGCAACTGGCAACATGCTGGAGAGGTTTCTTCTTGTACGGATCTGGCACAATGGCCATGGTTCCAATCCCGCCGCGGCTTTCGAGCCCTGCAGATGTTCGTGACTGAGGAAGAAGAAGTTCTTGATGTTCGTCACAGGCATCGAGGCGCGTCCGCACCGCGTGTCGCGCATCTCCGCGGTGTCGCGGCTGTCCGTGGAACCGGACTAACCGGGGAGCTCACCGGATGGAGCACGCCACTCGCCACCTCGCGCGACGGCGACTGGTGGTGTTTTGGTCAGGGCCAGGTGGGTCAGAACCCGACGCCCGACTCGGCTATCCCAGGCGGATCGGGATCCGCCAGGTGTTCCGGGTCCTATGGCCCGGTCCTTCAACCTCTGTTGGGGGTGCAAACCGCCGACGGCCCCCGACCTTCAGAATCTGTCGAATCGGTCGCCGTGCAAAACCCGGCGTTTTCCGAGTCGTTCCCGGAGTCGAGCGCGTTTCTTTTTTATTTTTTCGGGCGGAGTTCCATGTGGTCTACAGGCGCTGAAGTTACGGTTTCATATTATAAAACATGTTAAGAAGACCGTGAACGCGTTTGGACTGGGCCTCAAACAATCAATGTCCCCACGCTTCAAGGGGTGTTAGGCTGAACATCTCCACAAATTTGTAGTGATACACATTAGACCGGAAACCTTTTCCAACTGCAGTTGGGCCGTTGATCAAGTTCACCCCCTTCTCGGCACTCACAACACCTCACTTTCGTGTCACCCAACACGACTTTAGCCCTACCAACTGGTCGGAACCACACCCGAGTCGACTTGAGTCGACTTGAGTTTTTTGCTTCCAAGAAACTGGGCGTTTTCCCAAACAGATCCAAAAGCTTATCTCATAGGGTCACTACCCTGACCTCCCCTTGCCACCCCCCTGACTCCAACCCCATGAATATCATGGAGCTGTTTTCTGACGTCGACGCCGCCTCTCCGTAGCGAGGTGCCCCCCGAGCCGGGCACGGAACAGCTGACGGTGCCTCGGATGGCGCTCTGAGAACGGATGGCGCACCCGGGTTCGTTTGAGACACTCCATTGGGATTGGAAGAGTTTCGTGGTTCATCCAGTCAGACCAGTCCCAATCTACCATATTCTACCATAAAGTGTTTCATCTTAGAACACCTCTGGAATGGGGTCATCAATGGGTTATGTATCTTATGGTTGACACCGTTTATGACCTCTAATATATTGAACCATTCTAGTCTCGTGGATGGTCTAGGTTTATATCCTAGGACACCCATCAGAAGAACAGATGGGGACTCGGAACACGATGGCCACATGTACCCACCACCATATCATCACACCCTCTGATTCGAAGAACAGCCTCCTAACTTGGATTGACCATCAATAGGTCTCACATGTCCTCGTCCTCGGCCCAAGCCCCTGTCCTCGCCACGGCTCTTTTGAAATCACCTTCTTTAAACGGTCAAGTTAAAGTTCTGACCTCTTTAGTCTAGTCTATTCTGGTGAAGCGTTCTTTCCTTTTGTTTTTCCGGTGCCATGACCCATCGGAAACCATGTCACCCTAGGGATCCAAGTACCTTCTCAGAAGGCACTTGGACCCTCCAAACCAACATAACAGTGTCTCCAATCACCTTCTGAGAAGGTACTTGGATCTTTAGGGTCATGAAGTTGCATGTCGGGGTGTTCCTGGCCAACCTGGAGCTCTTTTGGATCGCCGGTCACCTGCCTCTTCCCCACGTCAAAGGCCTCTTTAGGTCTCTACGTCCAATGACTGGTCCAAGACCGGTTGACGGTTGACCTGGTCTTATTGACCTGGTCTCATGCCCAGACGCTCCATGCCATATATGCCTACATTGGGGTGGTGCCAGGGGGGTCAATGTAGGCATATATATATATGGCAGCCCATTGGAGAGTATGGGATCTATAATATATATATATATGTTATATAAACATCCGGTCCGTATACAGTACAACAGCTGGTGAGGGAAGAAGTCCGTCCTGGTGGGCGTATTGGAATCCTATATATCCTCCTTCCTAGCTAGGAAGGTGGACACGTTTTTGGGAGAGAGTTCAGTTGTTTCAGGCGTCAGCGTTCGACCTCAGTGATCCACACCAAAGGGGCCGAACCCTTTGTCCAGGTCCCATGGGGCACACGCACAGGACAGGGAAACGCACGCAAAGGTGCCTGTGCAGCACAGCAGTGCCAGCGCGAAACAGTGGAGATACCACTTGGGTATTACGCAATGGTACGCAGTTTTCTCATTGTTTTATGAAAGGAAAGCCTCACGAAGCTCACAGGGTCAATGCCCTGAGGTTCAAATGCCTTTCAGTGCCTTCACCAAAGATGAGCTCCTTTGACTCGAAGAAACCCGATTCGGAGGGCGGGACGGATTGAAAGGCGGAGCACGCGAGAAGCGGCGGCGATGGGTCCGGTGAAACCCGGACCCGATCCTCGTGCCCATTTCCTCCAAAATCCAGCAGAGGTGGGTCAGAACCCTGACTATCCTATGGGTACTCCTGGTTTTCCGGGTCCTAGTTCAGGTCACTGGCTACCTCTTTGGGATGGGGAGGGTCTCACCCGCACCGGAAATTCACACCGGGATCCCCCAAGCAGGTCCGATGTCCTGAATGGTTTGAAAGGACCCTGGAACCTGCTGGACTCCACCCCAGAAAGCCGCTTTGTGGATCCAGTCATGGACTCTTGGGGGAGGTCTCTATTAGATGCCACCAGAGTCTTGGTGGAGAGTTTCTGCGTGGCTTTGCAAAGCGTTTTCCTTTTTCTAGCGTTCAAGGCATTTCAGCTGCCGGAACCTGTCCATCAGTAGACTGACTTAGGGCAATGGTAGATACCTGCTCCGGCTCCAACCAGCACAACTGCATGGAGCACTCAAAGTATGTATGGTGCACTGATGTTGCTGTTCAAGGGTGTGAGGATGCTTCAGGGTTTGCTCCTCTCAGATTGGACTTCGAGAGTGACTCATCACTTAGGTGTTCATCTCAAATTGATGAAAGACCAGGCACCAGACATGGACCAGAGATGGATGTGAATGGATCAAGCTTACGTGACATGGGCCATGGGTATGAAGAATACCGCCACCAAAATGAGGGACAAACAGAACACCACAGGTCTTAGGTTGGTCGAAAATGAGACTGACATTCCTGCTCCAAAGCCACCTATGCGGGACTCAGCAAAAGGTTCCCCCAGCTGTGCATAGACCTTATGTTGCTTGGGGCTCTCTATATCCAACAGAGGTGGGTCAGAACCCTATAGCCCATCCCATATGTACCACAGACCAGGGTCCTAGTTCAGGTCTTTCAACCTCTGTTGGTATATCCAATTGGTATATCCATGGTTCCAAGTCTTCGGAAGCAGCGAACAAGACCGGCGCTGGACATCTCTCGGTTCCCGAGGCACGTGGAGATGCTGGGCAAGTTGCCGCAGGCCAGTTGCCTGGATGTTGCTCGAAATGTATCGGAGAAAGGGAGGAGCTTTTTGGTTGGATTCCTCCACTTCTTTGCAGTCCCTCTCTTGCAGTCCGTTAGACGGCTCCATGCTGGCGCCGGTAAATACATTCACCACCAAGAATCACCAACTGTAGGCCATATGTTGGCAGTCCCATGAGTGTCCGAGTCTGTAGCAAAAAACCCTTCGGTGGATGGTACCTGGCACTGATCCCTCGGCTAGAATTTGTGACTTAAGGCCTGAGCCCGAACAATTGTTTGGGGCTCAGCTTGGGGCAGGGTCAAATGAAGTGAACTTTGGTGTCACAAGGGTGTCACAACGAGTTCCCCAAATCTAAACCCAAATGGGGATGGGTCATGGTGTGTATGTGTAGTCTTGCTCTGCCACGTCGCCTGTGCCACGTCGCAGCGACGTTTGCCACCTCGACCGGGCACCCGACACCGGTGCCCGGTCGTGGACACGGACTCAATTGACCAATCAGGGATTTCAGGGGTCCATAGTAATGTAGACTTGTGAGGACCATAGTAACCCCGCCATTTGAATTGAACATCCTCTTCAAAGGCGGGTTTATTAATCAAGAGTCTACATTATATAGCAAGGTATCACAAATCCTTTCCTAGAAGTCCAGTTCGACGATATTTTGACCGACTGATGTAAAGGATATTCTCAGACTTGGGTCACCTAGTCAGACCATTCTTTTTATATAGTCTTTGACTCCCAGGGTATAGGCAAGGAAATATTTTACTGTCCCACCAGTTATTGTAAGTTCATGGATAGCTGGCGTAGTTTCCTACCATTGGGGTGAGGGATTTTGAGGGGTCAGTGTAGATATATATATATATAACTAGACTATACTCAGTGGATCCGAGCTACCACTCTATTTTCTGAGGAACCAGGGTTTGGAAGCCTGTGGTTTTAACTGGAACTGGGACTCCCAGCAACATGGATGTGGGTGAATTGGAATTCCTGCTAGGTTCACCCCTGCAGTGCTCGTTGATTCTGTTCATTTTCAGTGGGGAAACAAAACCGTTGGTTTTGCCGGTGTCATGACTCCCAGTTAGGCATATATTCCAGTCCCATGGAGTGTATGGGTGATGGGTAATCGACAAAATCTATGGCTATAGAGCTAGCCCGAATCGTGTGCCCTCATCCGTTGAAGGTTTTGGTGGGGGTCCAACCCCGTGCTATAAGCGCAGGGTTTTGACATGTTTTGACCCCTCCAGTTGGCCAGCAGGGTCCAATGATGCTTTTCCAGCAGGTTCAGGGTTCAGCAGGGTTCAGGGTCCAGCAGGTTCCAGCAAGGTTCGCCAGCAGTTCGCCAGCAGAATATCACCTGTTTTTTAATCCTTTTTCCGGTGGAAAGTTCGCTTCACCATGTTCGAAGCGGGGACGATGGTGGGTCGGAGGTGGGGGGACCAAAAGCGAGGCGCACACCTGCACCAACACCTTGGAATTGCCCAACTACTACGAGTCCCTCCAGGCGCTTCTTTTCCGGCTGCTTGTGGTGCTGGCGGAAGAGAAGGGGGTTTGGTAGGTCGTTTGCGCGCTTGTTCTCTGTCTTTTTGGTGTATGACACGGTATGATGCTAACGTGGTTGTAGCTATATAGATTATATAGGTAGTGTTCCTATTTGCGTGGACGGCGCAAAAAGACCACTTTGGACCATTTCTGAGCTGCATAGGTTAGGTTGGTTTGAAAGACTTCTCCATCCTGGTAAGTTGATCTTTCATAAGGGTGCCATTTGCCTTCCAAAGATGAACATGTTGAAGAGCCTCACAAGCAAACTCGACATGAACATCTGGTTGAAACAGACAATGGCCTTCAGAATTCGATTTGATGGGTCTCACCGAGGACCACTGTTTTGGTAAGGATGTTAGACTACAAAACCAGACCAACCTTGCTAATTAGAATGTTTTTGAAGGCTAGAGTAACAGTATGCTAGGGCCTGCTAGGGATTATGGATAGGTTAAGCCAGGAGCTGACCATGCATCCCTGTGGCTGTATTACTCTATTTGTTTCCACTGGTTCATGCTCGAGGTCATCGGGGTCGAGGGAAAACTACACTACACTTTCCAAGCAATCTAGTCTAGGCGGCTGCATTTTTAAAAAAGCTGATCCATACCAGCAACCCGACTTCACAGGTCACCACCTGCAACCTGACAAAGTCTGCAAAAGCCACCATAGACCTCTATAGAGTCGTCGGGTGCTGGAGAGTCGGCAGCTTGGATGAAGGCACGATGACGTTTGAAGGTATACCGTCCTTATCGGATTCAGAAGATCTGTCCTACACAGAGGCTCATGGACCCTCAAACTGCTATATATAATATACATGTTTGAGGTCCCAAACCCTGGCTGTGAGGGTCAAAACCCTAGCTATGAGGGTCCTTTCTGAGCCTTTGGGTAAGAATCATTCATGGAACCCAAGAAGCCAGTGAAGGTGTTCCAAATGCCTGCTGTCAAAACAGCGCAGGGTCCCAAGAAACAGGTCCAAAACAGCCTGCAGTTCGCCCAAACCGCAGGATCCGGATTGCTTCCTGCGGGCGGCGATAAGGGTTCGTCTAGCGACTCCGACGTCGCAGTCGCCGTCGCTGGACGCGCTGCGCTGTCAGGAGTCTGGACGCTACGCAGCGCAGGAGGCGAGGTCGCTGCGAAGCCGAGCTGTGGGAGTGGGGAAGAGCTTGGGAGATCTCATGACACTCCACAATGGACTCCAGGAGTCTAGGGACGGGACCATGAGGGGACGATTTGGGGAGTCGGGACCATGTAAGACGACTGACTTGGGGGGAGTCGAGGGACCATTGAAGACACAGTTTAAGACATGTTTTTTTGGGGGGGGTTGAACAAAACGAGCTTCCTTTTTGCCTGAAAGTGGGGCGAAACATCGTCGAACTGGAACTTGTAAGGGTGTATGCAATTGGTGCCTACATTGAGGGTGGTTGAAAAGGGATCCATGTAGGCATAGAATTGCAGTTCCATGGAGTGTTTGGGAATGTTTGGGATATGGCTGGGTCAAGACCTGAAGCCCCAAAGGCTACAATTTACATTGTAGCATGGTAAGTCAACCAAGGTATCCTGGTTTCGACCCACAGCCAAATATGGGACAAGCCCTCCCTTCACCCGCGAAGCCAGCACGGGGAAAGGGGGCTACGTCCACACATCAGTCGGTTGCACGCGAAGCGGAAGACGTTTGCGAAGCGGGGGGTTCACCACGCGTGACGACTCCATTTCCCATACACTCCATGGGACTGGAATATATATGCCTACATTGACCCCCCAAACCAGCCCACTATGTGGCATATATGGCAGTCCCATTAGTTGCGTTTGGGTTTGGGGAAGATGATGGATGGAATTGATTTCGGGAACAGACGTCTTGGAACATTGGAACTTGGCACGGGACCCCGGGACCCCCCAAAGAGAGGAACGCAAATGATGAGGGTCTTAAGGGATTTGG